GTTCAGACCCTGGAAAAGTGGGAGAGGCTCTTCAGATCTGTGTTGGAGAGGGGACGTTCCTGGGCCTGCTCCAACCTGAGCCTCCCAAGGGTGACAATGGGACCCCTCCTGCTCCTTGGGGACCCTCAGCACATTTTCCCAGGAGTTGTGATGAGCCTCAGAGAATTTTTTGGGATGAGGGTGTGCAGTCAGTGTTGATCAGTGCCTGCTGGGACAGGGTGTCCTTGCATGATTTGGGGTTAAAATCACCCACTGTTGGTGCTTGTGGTTGTGTCAGTCCTCAAACACAAATCCAACCCACCCAGGTGTAGCTTTCCTGAGGTTCTGGATCTGCCCGGGAAAGAAGTTCCCTGTAGAAGGAAAAGTGCCTTCTCCACTCTTTTTCTGCCTGGATGGGGCTCAGATCACAGTGGTTTCTCAATGTTTCAGGTGCAGAGTGACAGGGAACAAGTCAAATATCACTTGGAATGGTGAAATTCCATGAACATAAAATGTAATAAATTAAAACAATGGGCTCTGGTAAGGGGGTTGGCAGCTGGAGATGATTCCAGGTGTCCCATCCTCCTTGGGGACCACAGGGCTGGACTGGACATCCCTGGAGCCTGTGAGTGGAGCAGGAGGCTCTGGAGAGAGCATTGACTCCCGTTCCATACAAAGCAAAGTCTGGGCAGTGAGGATCCAGGTGGGAAGTTTGGATGGAGAAAGTTTTCTTTTCCCTTCCCTTGGCGTGCAGGGAAATTCTGGGAATCGTTCCTGCCTCAGGCCTGGGGCGGCCTGACCACGTCTCCAGCTGTGCCCAGAGAATGAAACCAGCTCAAAGCACGAAGCCAGGCCCTGAGTCACGCCAGATCCAGGAACTGGGGCTCTGGGGAAGCACCAGAGCAGGAGGCTGAGGAGAAGCTTTGGGCTGGGGAAGCTGGGCTGGCCTCAGCAGGAAGGGGAGGTTTCTCTGGAGCTGGGGTGTGTTGGGATCCAGCCTCTGTGGGGTCTCGTCCCTGCCCTGGGAATGCTGTCAAAATGCTTTGGAGTGATAGAGCAGCCAGGAGAGGCCATTCCCAAGGAAACCTTTCCCATCCTGGTTCTTGCATGAAAACTATTTCTGTGTTTCTCCGTATTTTTTCCTCTTTCTCCCAATTTCTTTCCCGACGGAGAGCCCACGCCAATCCAGCGGCACAGCAGGGCTGGCATAATGGGATGTGACATTTCTCATCACAAAAGGACTCTCAGGCTCGGGGCTGACAGGCTCCTCCAGGCACCAAACCCCGGCTGGAGGCTGACAGGAAAAGCGAGGCCGGGCTGAGAGCGAGAGGGTCGTGGGCGAGCCAGAGCCCTCTGGGAGCATCCCCTGCCCCAGATGCAGCACTAGAATCCCACTAGAAGTGAGCTGCTGCTCAAACAGGCAGCTGAGCTGGGAAATGCCAGAGTTTGGGAGTGCTGGGAGCTGCCCAGGCCCTGCCCTGCTCTGTCCTGGCCTCCCTGAGCACGGGGATAATTGGAGGGAGAGTTTCTCTTGGATGGCTCTTTGCTCACATGCTTCTTGTTGGAAAGCAGGACGAGCCTGGATGTTTCTGGGAGCTGGGGGAGGAGTGGTCCTCCCCAGTCCTGCTGGCTTTGGTGGGGAGGAGGAAACCCCAAACCCTTCACCTTCCTCGGCAAGGACACGGTGGAACAGATCCAGATCCACCTGCAATTAGCATCTCATCCTTTCATTCCCCGTTCCAGCCTCGCAGGGAAGCTGGGTTGCCATCCCAGCGGCTCTGCCTTTGCCGGGATGCTGAGCCAATTCCTCCATCCTGACCTCATTGCAAAGATCACAGCGACTGAGGAGAACAAACCTGGGCTCCCGCTGGGCCGGCTTTGAAGCCGCTCAGCCCCATCAAACTCCCGCTCGTGGGGAGCAGTGCGGGAGGAGCCGCGGCTGTTTGGGATCAGCTTCCCCTCGGATAATCGTTGGTTAATGCCGGGCCGGGCCCTTCCCGTGGGATGCAGCCCCCGCACCTGGCTGAGCCCCCCCGGTGTCCCGAGGTCCCCGGGGCCGGGTTGGGACGCGCTCCCGGCGAGGCAGGAGCAGCCCAGCCCTGCTCGGCTGCGCTTCCCCGGGTCCCATCCGTCATCTGTTTGTCCTGGTCCCCTGCCAGCGATTGTGCCGATTCCCACACCCACTTTCCATAAACCCTCCGTCCTCGCCCGGGCGAATCGCTGGCGAGAGCTCGCCACCCATCCCTTTCCCCTCCTCTCCGATGGGATCAGACACGTTCTGGAGGGGGGGAAGAAAGGGAAGGGGGTGAAAAGAAAACAAAAAAGATCAAGAGGAAAACACAAGGTGACTCACCGCCTTTAATTTATTTGTGTTTATTTATTTATTCCCCCCACCCTCGGCTGCGACGTGCAGGCAGCAGCGAGGGCTGCCCAGGGAGCCTCGCTCGGTGCCCAGGGCACCAGAAACGACCGGGATAAAATCCCCCACTCCTTTGGCCGAGGAAAAGATCGCGGAGAGCAGCTCCTGGCGCTCGAACTGCGTGGCACAGATTTTTCAGCTTTCCCAGGTCTCTGCACGAGCATCCCGTGCCCCGCCGCAGACCGGAGGGTGGGAATATCTAATTCCACCTCCTACACCGTGTCCTCGGCAGGGGAAAGAGAGAAAGAGGAGTTAAAAGGCTGGGAAGCTCAAATGGTGTCATTAGGAACTATTAATGCTCTCATAAAAGGGCATTAATAAACGCGGCAGCTCATCAGTGTCCATTAGCTCGGCTCGTGGCAGGGATCTTTGGGAGCTGCCGGAGTGTGATGCTCCCCTCGCCCTCACCGGCGTGTCAGCAAAGGGGAAAGGGGCTGGAGGGGGGGTTCTTCCTCCGACAAACCATTCCCGGAGCAAAAAACAAGGAGAAAATGTCACAGAGCGTCACACCCCACCTCTCCAATCCCTCCCGTATCCCGGCAGCCGTGCCCAGAGCTTGCTCCTTGCTCCCAGGATTGCTGTTTACTATCAAAGAGAAAAAAAAAAAATAAATAAAGAGGCAGGCAGGGTTTGGAGCGCTCATCCCGACTTTCTCCCTCCTCCCGCCCTCTTCCTGTTCTTGCCTCTTAAAAAGGAGTTTTATCCTTTGACTCTCCCATGCCCGGGGCTAGCGAGGAAGCCGCAGCATCTCGGGGCGAGCCGGCAGCCCACAGCAGCGGGCAGGGCACGGGGAGGAGGCCCTGCCCGGCCTGATAAGCCCCTGGCAAAGCCAGGAATAGCAGCGCGGTCCCCGCACGGCAGCGATGCTGCCAGGAGCGGAGAGAAACCCGCAGTCCGTGCCTTTGAAGAGCTGGGGCTGGCAGCCGGCCCGGCTGCACGGAGAGCTCGGGATGGGCTCGGGATGGGCTCAGGATGAGCTTGGAAAGGGCTCAGGATGAGTTTGGAATGAGCTCGGGATGAGTTTGGAATGAGCTCGGGATGAGCTTGGAATGAGCTCGGGATGGGCTCGGGATGAGCTTGGAAAGGGCTCAGGATGAGTTTGGAATGAGCTCGGGATGAGCTTGGAATGAGCTCGGGATGGGCTCGGGATGAGCTCGGGATGAGCATGGAATGGGCTCAGGATGAGCTTGGAATGAGCTCGGGATGGGCTCGGGATGAGCTCGGGATGCGCCGGCAGCTTCCCCCCCGCCCCTGTGGGCAGCAGCACATCTGGGGGAGCAGGCACAGCTGGAGGGCTGGGGCACGTGCGCACATCTGGGCGGAGGAGGGGCGAGCCCGTGTGGGGCTGGCGGGGCACATCTGGATGGGCGCTGCCGAGCATCTGGGCGGAGCACATCTATGTGTGCACATCTGGAGGGCAGGGGTTTGCACATCTGGATGGCGCTGCTCTGCACATCTGGGCAGGGCCACAGCAGCCCCACGGCCCCGTGCGTCCCCTCAGGCACCCCCCGGGTGTTTCTCTCCTCACATCCTGCCCTGCTTTCCCCTCCCGCTGCCATCCCAGGCACCCGGACCTGCCCAGGTCCTCACTCATCTCCTCCCTGTCACGGGCAGATTTCAGCGGCAGCCGAGCCAGAGTCAGGGAGCCGAAATCCCAGGATCCCTGGTGACCTTTGGTGTGCCAGGGGCAGCTGGCAGGAGGCTGTCCCCAGCCGTGACTCAGGGCAGAGCAGTTTCCTTTGGAGGGAAAGGGAAGCTTTGATCGCAGGGAGCCGAGGCACCAAACCCTGCTCCCCACGTGCACCTTTGCTGGGAGTTATCTGAGGCATCTTTTTTTTTTTGGGATAATAACTCCCAGGGCAGGTTAGGACGGAGGAGGCCTGGCAGAGGAGCGTGTGTGGGCAGGACTGGAATAACGGGTGCTGTAGGAGAGGATTCACCAGCGCTGGGAGGTTGGGAATGGCCGGGAATAGCACAGCAGGTCAGGGGTGAGGTGGGATGTGCAGGGCCAGGATGTGCATGCAGCTCCTGGTGTTGTCCCTTTGTCACCCATGCAGTCCCCACAGGATGCTGGGTGTCCCAGGAAAGGCCATCCCAGGGCAGGGGTGGAGAGCCAAGCCTGCAGTGGGACAAGCTCTGTGAGCAGGAGAGCAAAGCCAGAGCTTTGTTATGGGAGTGATGCTGGAAATCAGCACAATTCCACCTGGAATGGGCCAGCTCTCCCAAATGCTGATGTGCTGAGCAGCACTGAGGCTTTTAAGGGAATTATTGTGGCTTTCCCAGGGTGCCACATTCCCTGGGTCTCCAGACTGTGAGCAGTCTCTGTGTGCAGGTGACAGCAGTGTCATCTGTGCCAGGGCATTGTGGATCAAGCCCTAAATCCCAAATAGCCAAAGAAAAGCCCTGGCACGCTCCTTCCCACCCACCTGAAGAAAATTCTCTTTACAAGGAAGTGATGAGAGAATGATCTTTACGAGGCAAACACACGAAAGGTTGGGAAATGAATCCCTGGGGAGAAGTGGGCACAGCTGTGGGGGCACCCTCTGTGTGTTTCTCCTGAAGATGCCAGGTTCACCTAACCAAGCTCTTTTTGTCCTTTCAGGGTTCGGATCTGAGGGTTGGGAAGATCAAAGGGAAGGTCCTGACAGGTGAGTGCAGACCCCAAATGGGGGGACGGGGTCTCAGGGTGGCAGTGCTGGCTGGGGTGGGCACACCACAAGACGAGGGAGGGACACAAGGGGAGAACACAAGGAGCTCCCTAGGGCACAGCTGGGCACTGTCTGAAATAGGAGCCACTTTTTCTCTAACTTTTTCTAGAGGCAAAAGTGGTTTAAAAACTCCCCAGCGGTTGGAAAGGCTCCAAACCAGTGTAAAAAGAGGGGGGAGGGATAAAACCCAAAAGAAAAACACAAGATAAAAGTGGGTGAATCCCAACAACTCCTGTGATGTTGCAGGAACAAAGACTTTCAGTTCTAAACGGGCCAGACGTGGCTCAGGGAGGTCACAGCCCAGGGGAGAGGGGCTGGGGGCTCCCCTGGCTCCTGCTGGAGCTTCAGCCCCTTGGTGCCACATCCTCCTGTCCCTGAGGGAGACCAAGGGTGGCTGTGCTGTGCATCCCATGGATGTCCCTTTGCTCTGTCCTCAGCAGCTGGACATGCCCTGAGCCAGCTGTGGGCCCCACATCTGGGCAGCTGTGCCCTGCTCCCTCCCAGCCTGGAGCACAGCGTGGACCCCAAAATCCCCCTGGGGCAGCCCAAGGGGTGCTGGCCATGCCCTGCTGGGGGCTGGGGGGCCCAGGTTTGTCCCCCTGCCCAGGGGAGGGCGCAGACAGGGGAAGGGGATGGATGGAGGAGGGGTCAGGGTGGTCCAGGATGCGCTGAGGAATTGTTTTGGGGGAGCCCCTGAGCTGATCCACAGCAGGGATCTGCATGGGAGAGCTGATCCCAGCCTGCAGGAGGGTGGTGGAGGACTGGTTCTGGTGGGAGTTGGAGCTCAGAGGGACACCCAGCCCTTCTCTTGTGCACCCCAGATTACAGCCGGCCCAAGCCCTCCCGCTACAGCGGCTACCACCGCTACCAGTTCCGCCTGTACCGGCAGTCGCAGCACCAGACCATCTCCCTGAGCTCCGAGGAGCAGCAATCGCTGGGTAAGGACCCGCCTGGCCCTGATCCCCGCCCCGAGGGGCTGTTCCAGGGCTGTGGGCAACGCCGCGGGCTGGGGATGCCCGGCTCGGTGCAAAGGGATCCTCCCAGGGGACGTGGGTGAGGTGTTAAATCCTTGCCAGGCAGCAGAAACCCTTGGAAAGCGTCTGGTAACGGCCTGGCTAGCGGGACCGGCAGCAGGGAGAGATGTGGGCTGTGAAATGCAGCCCTTGCTGGCACATCCCCCCCAGCCCCAGCCGCGGGAGTTGCATCAGCGGCTCCTCGGAGCGGGCGGATAAGGATCAGCGGCGGAGAAGGTTTAGCAAGGGATTGCTCAAACCGGGCTGACACAACGCCCGCCAACTCCCAGCTCCTCCCAAAACCTTTCACGGAAGGGATGGAGCAGCCGAGACCCCCGAAATGCCAAGGGAACCGTTGCTGCTGCTCCATGCTGGGGCTGCGGGAGCCCGGGATGGGCAGGGATCCATCGCGCCCTGTGCCAGGCGTGGGTTCCTCCCTGCCCTGCCTGGAACTCGGCGCTCTGTGCCTCACGTGGCCTCCACAAGGGAAATTTCAAAACTTTCCCAGCTGGGACCACATGAGCAGGGCTCGACGGGCAGGTCAGGTCGGTGCGTCTGGGCTGCTCTGCCTGACTCAGCCCGTGCCTGGTAACGCACAGCGGCCGGCCCGGAGCGGGGGCTGCCCCGGGGGGCTCGCACACAGCCCCTGCCCCCTCCCCGGCACCGAGCCGCGGTGCTGAGCCCATGGCCGGAGCGGGATGAGGCTGCCACGAGGCTCCCTGCGGGTTGTCCCTGCCCTTGGCTTGGTTTTCTGGCTCATTAGCTCCGCTTCTTAATGACCCCGCCGATGTCACCCCCCTGCCAGCCCCTCATTCCTGCAGGGAGGAGGGGGCTGCGCGTTGTCCCCACATTCCCACCGGAGCTGGGAAGGGAAGCAGAGACACCACCAGGGAGCTTTTTCCAGATAAATCCTCTTTTCAGCGGGATTTGAGGCTCCAGCCCCCTAGATGTCCCCCCGCAGTGTCCCCCCACTGTCCCCAGGGCGGGGGTGGCCGGGCATTCCCCAGCTGCCGCTGTCCCCATCCCATCTGTGCTTCCCAGCCCTTCCCGCACTTCCTGGGAAAGACCCAGAGGATATTTTGGATATTTTTCCACGGGATCCGATGCCTCAGCATCGTTTGTCAGCAGCTGTGGGGGTCTGGCAGGGAGACTCGGTTAAAGGTTATTTTTAACCCTTGCACTGCTGCCTCACATCCTCGGCCTGGCCGGGGGATGCTGCTGGGTTCAGACACCAACAGCCCATCATCTTTATTCCCAGGGAATGAGCCCTAAAAGCAGCCAAAGGATGAGATTTTGGTGTCTCAAGGGTTTTAAATAAATCCATCCCCAAGGCAGTGGGATGAACGCCGATGGATCTGCTGGTGCCTCCAGCCCTGTGGTGCACAGGCAGCACACAGGGAGGAGGAGCAGACACCTTGGCAGAAGGTGGGAACAAGGAGGGGGTGACCCCAATCCCAAATGATCCCAAAGGATGAGAGCCCAGCCCGGGCTCTGCCTGGCTCCTCTCCTGCAGCAGAAGCGCTGCAGGTTCTCCTGGCGATGCCACAAGACAGTTTGCATCCTTGCTCAGAATTTCCCATCTTATTTGGCCTCAAATGAACCCCTTCTTGCTGCTTTCACTCCGTCCTGCATCTGGTGACAGCGACATCTGTGTCTCACGAGGCTGGGGACACCCTTCATCCCCAGCCCTGGACAGGGATGTGTCCTGGCCAGGCACAGGGAGTGGCACTGGCCCATGCCAGCCTTGGGATGTGTCCAGCCTCCAGTGCTGCATCCCCGTGCTGGGCATCCCTCCCTCTGGCAGCTCATCCCCTGGCAGAGCTGAGCCCCACCAGAGCGTTTCTGTTGAGCTCCCAGAAAAATTCAATTCCCTGCTGGCACTGGGCCTGTTCAGGCGGCCGGGCCAGGCAAGGCCGAGCCGGGGAGGTGACAGTGCCAGGCGGGATGGCAGGAGCTCGGCCGGAGCCTCCAGAAGAGGGCACTAAACCAGGACCTGCCCGCGTCGCCTGTCCCTGCTCCTGGAAAAGATCCCTGGGAACTGAAAACGCGAGGGGCAACAGCGAGCGTGGAAAACAAATCCCGGCTTCTCCTCCCTCCTTGCCTGGCTGTGCAGAGGGAGTGGGGACATTTCCACCCTGCCGTGGGGGTGTCCCGGTTGGGGTGGCACTGACGGGCACAGGTGGGTGCTGGGAGGGCTGCAGGACCTGGACACGTCCCCCTGTCACCCGTGACAAGGTGGAAATCTGTTGTTTATGGCCGGGGTGTTTCTCCGGGGTGACTCTTGAGCAAAAATCTTGTTTCACCAGGGTAAAAACCACTCTGGTCCTTCCCTGTGAGTGTTTCTGATCAATCCAGCACCAGCCAGCTCTGTGTGACCTCAGGCAAAAAACTCAGAGCCTCAGTTTCTCCTCTGGAGTCTGATTCACTTCAGTTTTTGGCTGTACCACTAAATTGTCACCGAGCAGCAGCTCCGTCCCCGCTCAGTACCAAAGGTGGGGACGTTTGGGGTGTCCCCACAGCTCTTCCTGTCCCTCACCCCACTTCCCTTGCAGCCAGGAGTGTTACAAGCCGTGCCTGTGTTGTTTTGGGGAGATGCAAGATAATAAATTGTGGTCTGTGAAATGTCACAGCCGCCGTCGCATCCCGAGGCCACCACAGGCTCTCGATCCACGGGAAATCCCTCAGCTGGGGGAATCCAGGCACCCACCAGACCCCGGCTGTGGTGCTGGGCAAGTAAAGTTCCCCCACGGCTTTCATCGAGGGGGATCTTTAATTAGCACAAAATCTTGAGGTTTAATTTCACCTGAGTTCATCCCTGTGCTTCCACCTCTTCCATCAGCTCTGGCAAGCTGGGGAGATGCTCCCACATTCCCAAAGCCCCTCCTGCCCTGGAAAGGTGTTTTAGAACCGGGAATGGATTTTTTCCCTCCCAGAAATTTTGCCTCCAGGATCAGGGACGGGGATGAGCCCGGCCAACCTGTGGCTCCATCCCTCTCCAGCTCCAGCTCCGGATCCGGATCGGGGCCGCATTGACTCATGAGCCGACCTTGTGCGCCTCCAATCCGATCCACCCAGCTGGAAAATCGGGTTGGACTGGGCCCCGGCGGGGAGGGAAAGGCTGCGGCCGGGACGGGAGGCGGCAAAGGACTGCGGGGAGAGCACGGTGCCGGCCCGAGTCCCCGGGTGTCACTTAATGGTGACCAAAGCAGCTGCCGGCCTCCCGCCCACCTCCGCTGGGACATCATTAATCTTGGCAGAGAAGCATCAGGGCTCCCATCAGGAGAACATCGCCGCTGATGAGGCTGATAAATTACAGCCGGGGGGCCGGGGGAGGAGGGGACCGGCGTTTGGGGGTGGGCAGGAGGCGAGGGCAGCGCTGGGAAACCTGTGCGATCACAGGGATGCCGAGCTCCCCCAGCCCAGCGGTTGCCTCGTGCCTCAGTTTCCCCATCGGGTGCTCCGGGCTCAGGCGGCCGCGCACGTGTGGGTGTCAGCGGGCACTCCTCTTCCTCCGGCGGGTGTGAAGATAAGAGCCAAGTGGGATGATTTAATCCTTTGGGAAATGAGCTTGAAAACGGACCAAGCCACGGATGAAACGCCGTATTGTTTATGGCAGGGAGAGGGGACGGTGGCACCGCGACCTCGGCTCCCCGGCCGGCCCCCTGCCCCTTTCCCGGCTCCGTGATCCCGGTGACTCACAGTGCCCAGCCCTGGGAGCCAGCTGGGTGATTTGGGATCGCTGGCACAGGGAGTTGGCCACGCCGGGACGGGGCACCCGCTTTGGGGATGCACCCGAGGGGTTGGATTTGGTGTGGGGGGACCCAGCTCCCCAAATCCGGCACCCCCCGGTGCATCCCCCCCTGGCCACACCCGCGGCTGCCCCGGGGCTTTCCCTGGCCGGGCCGGGCACGATCGGTGCCAGGGCAGGTTGGAAAGTAGGTCAGGAAAAACCCCGGCCCTGCAGCCCCGCAGTGGCTCTGCCTCCCCCGGCTCCTTTCATCCTCCCCTCCGGAGGCTCCGCACATCAGCGGCAGCTCGGGCACCCCTGGGAGCCGGGGGTGCCGCGTCTCGCTCCCAGCCCGGCCCCGCGGGGCACCCGCGCCTCTCCCGGGGGGTTCCCAGCGCTTTGAAAGCTTCGGATGAAAGGCACCCACCAGGCACAGCGGGAGCGGCCCCGCGGGGCTCCTGCCCCTGGTGCCGCCTTCACCGGGACCCCCAGCACGGAGGGGGCTGGGCTGGGACCCCCAAGGGAGGAGCTGCCCCTCCTGCCGAGCTGGAATTTGGGGCTCGTGGCTCTGTGGCCCGGCTGGAGGCGACCCCAGTGCGGGACCTTGGGACCGTCCTCGCTCTCGGCTTGGTTTGTGTCCTCGGAGGGTGGCAGGGGACACCTGGGAGCCTGCAGCAGCAGCCTGGTGCATTCCAACACCTCATCCCAGCCGGAATGTGGGATGCAGCTCCTTGCCGAGCATCCTGGGAGCTCCTTCCTGGCCCTGGAGCATCCCGCAGCTCCAGGGTGCGCTGCCGTCACCAGAGAATCTCCAGAGCTTTTTTTGGAGCTCCGGGCCCGAGGTGGGGAGCAGGTGGGAGCTCCAGCAGCTCCCCCAGCCATCAGCACCCCTCGGAGGTGATGCAGCAGCTCAGGTTTTGCTCAGCACTTTTGCAAGAGCAAAGGGGACGCTGTGCTCCAGTCGGGGCCGAGATGTGGCAGCAGATAAAAGCTGCCAGGCTGCCTCGTGACATTAAAGAGCAGCCAGGAAGAGGAGAGGACAGGTTTCAGATAAACAACGGGCCCCTTTCCCCACAAGGAGGGGCAGCGTGAGCTGTTTGGGCGCCAGGGAAAGCCCCCCCGGTCAGGGCAGGATGCTCCCACAGCCACCAGCCAGACACAGGCGCGGTGCCCGAGCCCGGCAGGGCTCAGGGGGATTTCTGCCCCACAGGGGCCGGGTGTGAGGGAATCCCTCCTGCCTTTCGACCTGGAGAGAGTTTCCCTGCTGCCTACGTGGGAAAAGCCACAGCTGGACCCGGCAGAGGCTGCCCCAGAGCTCCGGGATGCTGGGTCAGGGCAGGCAGCGGGGGAGGAGGGTCAGGAATGAGGAACGCCCTGGGCTCCAGCAGCCTGAGGAGCAGCAGCTCAGTGAATGCCACTCGGGGCACGGGGGATCTCCTGTGACATCCCCAGGGGGATTTCCCGCCAGGCCAGCCCCGGGGTGGGCTCGTAGGAAGCCGTAGGAAGGTTTGCTCCAAAGGTCAGGGGCAGGAGAGGAGCCTGGCACCCCCAGGACGCTCAGACTGGGGTCCCCGTGACTCCTGGCTGGCCCTGGGGCCTCCTGGGGTGTGCAGGACGTGGTTTGGGGCAGAGCAGCAGCTGCTGCTCCCCTCTCCAGCCCTGCTCAGCCCCTTTTCCTCTCTCCCCAGGCACCTGGGACTTGAAGGACTTCGTGGAGGATTTTCACCTGGGCCACCCCGTGGCCGCGACCCAGTTCCTCACCAAAAACTGCAAGGATTAACTCTGGCCACCCCTGCCTTGCCCTGCACATCCCCAGAGCCCAGAGCCACCTCTGCCCGGAGCAGAGGGGACCCCAGACCCACTGAGGATGATCCCACCCTGCTCCCAGCCCAGAGCCACAGCCCCAACCCCTCCCCTCCCACAGCCAAGTTCTCTTTCCCTCTGGGGAACGTCCCAGCTCGCCCGGTTATCCCAGGAATTCTGGCATCTCCCCTTCTCCCCCCTTCACCCCATTTCTGACTTGACCCCCTGCATGTCCCCCTGGCACTTTGGGGACTTTGAGTTTGATGCCTGCAGCTTCTTGAATAAAGTTTGGATGGAGCACACGGGGCTCTGTGGTGGCAGCGAGCGCGGGCAGGGGCAGTGCCAGGTGAGTCTGGCATTTTGGGATCTGTGGGCAATGGGAGCAGGGGGTGGCCAGCCAGACCCTCCTTTAGGTGACCCCAGGGTCACCCAGGGGGGGACAGGGACAGTGATGCCTGTCCAGGGGTCCCTTGTGGCACCGTGTGGGAACCGGGCACTGCCCCGGCCCTGCCCTGCCTTTGCCCTCAGCCCGTTTCTCTTGGAAAGCAAAACCAAAATTAAAGGCATAAATCAGCAGAGCTCTGCCTACTGGCCACTTAGCCAGACCTCCCCTTTAATTAGCTCCTTAATTAGGCTTTCATCTAAGACTCAGTTTTCTCCAAGGCTCAGATTCACCCGCCTGCAGCTCCTCCTTGGAGCACATCCCGGTGTCTGCGCTGTGACAAAGCCACCTCTGTCCTGCCCATGGCCAGGAATAATTTTCCCCCTGGAACAAACCATGGAGAGCAGGAGCCCAGGACATTCTGCAGGCAGGGGAAACTGAGGCACGAGGGAACGACTGGCTCAGGGCTGGGCAGGGAGGCCTGGGGTCCCTCAGAGGGGTTGTGGTGTTCTGGTTGCTGCATCTCAGCTCTGCTTCAGTGCCTGGTGTGGAACAGAGCAACCTGATCCCAAAAAAACATCTCTGTGCCATCCTGCTGCCACCTTCCCTGGGCCCTGGCAGTGAGAGCAGATTTCAGTCCTGCCTGGGGGCTTGAACGTGGATTTCAGTCCTGCACTGGGGGGTTAAATGGGAATTTCAGTCCTGCACTTGGGGGTTAAATGTGAATTTCAGTCCTGCACTGGGGGGTTAAATGTGGACTTCAGTCCTGGGGTGTTAAACATGGATTACAGTCCTGCACTGGGGTTTAAATGTGGATTTCAGTCCTGCACTGGGGTTTAAATGTGAATTTCAGTCCTGCACTGGAGGGTTAAATGTAGATTTCAGTCCTGCACTGGGGGGTTAAACTTGGATTTTCAGTCCTGCACTGGGGGGTTAAACTTGGATTTTCAGTCCTGGTTTGTTAAACAGAGATTTCAGTCCTGCATTGGGGGTTTAAATGTGAATTTCAGTCCTGCACTGGGGTTTAAATGTGAATTTCAGTCCTGTATTGGGGGGGTCAAACATGGATTTTCAGTCCTGCATTGGGGGGTTATATTTGAGTTTCAGTCCTGCATTGGGAGGTTAAACTCGGCTGGGACTTTCCCTCCAGGAAGTGGCTCTTTGCCTCAGAGAGGCTGAATCACACGGGGTCCTGCAGAGCTCTGTCCCCTCCAGGGAGGATCTGGGTGTCCAAGGGGGTGCAGGAGCAGGATCCAGCCTTGCCCTGGGCACACAAGGCTGGGTGAAGCTGCAGGAGCCGGCGGGAAGGAAAGCAACAAAAAAAGGAAGCTGGGTAACACCACAACCCAGGGAAAAAAAAACATGAACCCCGCTGCCACTGGCGCTAAGATTAGCAGCAGAGGAAATGACACTGAGATGTCATGGAAGTCTGCTAAAGTTGGATTTCTCTTTTTTCTATCCTGCCCTCAGAGCAGGGTGTAATTGGCCCGGCAGATGGGAGCGAGGTTTGGTGTAAATGAGAGGTCAGGCCTGGGCTGACATCCTGAGCCAAACTCCAGCAGCCTCCCCTCCCTGCTCCTCGTGCCTGCCCTGGTTATTTTGGGTGGAGAAAAGGCAATGGGGTGTTTGTCCTTCTAGGAAATGATCACCATTGTTCCTGGGTTTAACTGGGGATGGGACAAATTGAGCTGGGCTGGGATTGGGATCGCTGGGAGCCAGAGTGATCAGTGTGACACTGATGGGATGGGATGGAAATGGAAATGGGAATGGGGGCAAACATGGACAATGGGGATGAGGGGATAGATGCGGTGGAGATGGAAATGGAGATGGGGATGTGGATGGGACAGATGGGAAATGGAATGGACAGCAAGGATGGGAGTGAGGTGAAGATGGAGAAGGAGAAGGGAGTGGAGATGAGGTTGGGGATGGGATGAAGATGGAGATGGGGATGGAGGAACATGAATGGAGATGAGGATGGGGATAGGATGGAGATGGAGATTGAGATAAAATGGGATGGAAATGGGATGGAGATAAAATAGGATGGGGATTGAGAATGGGGACTGAGAGTGAAACAGGGATGAAGATGGGGAGGGGGAATGGAAATGAGGGTGGAGATGGGGATGGGGATGGGGACAGGAATGATCAGACCAGGAACCTGTGCAATATCCCTGTGCTGGGATGATCCCTGCCAGGACCCAGCACCGGGGCCTTGTGGGGGCACTCGGGGCTGCAAACGCAGCAGCCCTGGCCAGGCCTGCACCACAAACTCTCACTGGGATGCATACAAGGCCTCCACGGTGTGGAAAATATTAATTGTGGTTTTCTGGTTCACTTTTCGATTATTTAGAAAGAGTGAAGGAAAAAACTCCCAAGGAGGAAGCCACGTACACTCACTTGGTGCTGGTCCCACCCCCTTTATCTCTCCTTCCATTCGCTCACCATTGGTGCGAGAGAGAAAAGAGAAGCTGAGCCTCTCAGCTGCCTAAATGTAGAAAGTTTTGCTTCTAAATCAGTTTGTGATGGAAAGGAAACACGTCACGTCCCTGGGGAAGTGGCTGGTTTTGAGCAGCCACAACCCCAGCGCCGAGTGCTGCAATGGAACAGCCCAACACTGAAATAGCTCCACGCTCTGTTATTGTCACCCAGAGAAGTTTTTTTTTTCACTGTCTAGGTGTCATTTTTAGCCTCCAGAGGAAATTTTATTTGTATTTGTTACCTCGACTTTCCACTGTCGTGGCTTCATGACTTTTTCATGTGAAGGGCTGGGAGAAAACAGAGTTGGGTGAGTTCAGGTATGGGACCCACAGCACCAAGGGCACATCCCAGGAATTCCAGCATGGATTCACCAGCCCTGCAGAGCCCAGCTGCATTCCAAGGTCACAAACCCATGGAAACACAGAATGCCAGGGATTCTGGGGGGCTGTGAGCTGAGCTGAGCCCAGGCATGGCTGTGGGATGGACACAGCTCCCCTTTGCTCACCCAGGATGGGGCTTTGAACTGGGTTTGGGCAATTCCAGCCCCTCCCTGAAGCAAACCCACCCACTCCATGGCATGACTGAGGGAGAAGAGGACGTGGAGTTTAAAAATTAACAATGAACTCGTGAAAATTGAGTGTTCCTGGTGAGAAACAGCAGCACCCAGCAGCACATGGGGGGGTGTTCCTTGCCAAAACTGGGCTGGAGGCCAGGAGAAGCTCGTGCTAAACACGAGCCCTAAGTCAACAGGATAACAATTACCAGGTTTTAATAATCACTGAAATAATTGATGGGAGAAAGTCTCAGCCCCTGGCTCTGATGCAGAGGGCTCACCCCAGGAAAATGCAGATTTAAGGCCGGAGCAGGTACTGGGGGACCCCCAAAGCCTGGGTGGCACCTGGGGATGGCACAGGGACAGCCCAGCTGGCAGGAGCTCGGCAGTGCCAGGCAGCAGCTCCCCCTCAGCCAGGGACTTGCTCAAGAAGGGATTAGCAGGATCAGCTGATGATGATCTAAGCGCATAACTATATCAACCTGCGAATTAATTCTGATATCTCACACCTCGGAGCTCCTCTATCTGCACATCTCTGCACTCCTCAAGCGTTCCCTGAGCTAAGCCCGGCTGCACCCCCCCGGGAAATAGGTCAGGAGGGATAATCCCCAAATCCCCACGTGCTGCTGGGGCCGAGCAGCGCTGCCCGATTTGGGAGCCGACGTGGGAGAATCCCCCGGCCAGCTGAGCCCCACGGGATGCTGAGGCACCGGCTCTGCACGTCAGCCAGGGGTGGGCGATGCTGGGATGATCCAGTGAGGAGCTCCCAGCCTTCATCCTCGTGCTGGGCACTCACAGAGCCCCAGTCTGGGGTCCTCCCGTGCCATGGGGATGGGGATGGGGATGGGGATGGGGATGGGGCAGGAGCCTGCACTGGGAGCTGCTGCTGGGCTTGGGCGGGCCCTGGCAGAGGCAGCTGGGCCGTGGCAGGAATTTAGGGCTCCTGAAGTAATAGGTGAGGCAGGAAAGGCGAGGACAGGGACGTGTCTCCCCACCTCTGTGTCCCTGCCAGCGGGTCCTGCAGTGATGGTTTCATTAATTAGTAATAATTAATTATTATTGGGTTTCCAACATGCTGTATGATATCAGAGGAGCTTTGTGGGGCTGTCTGGGGATCCAGGGCCAGAGCTGGTTTGGTTTTGGGCTCCTGGACCCCCATCCTGCTCACTGGACCATTCAGCCATCCTGGGATGCAAATTCCAGCTGCTCCTGAGGGAAAGCAGCAGCTCAGCTGTGCCCAGAGGCGCTGTGGGCATCCTGGGATGAGCATTCAAGGGATGCTCAGCGGGGAGAAACTCAGTGCAGGTTTTGTTTCCTCTTTCAGCTGCTCCCCGAGCCGCTTTGAGCCGGGTTTGTCGGCGGCAGTGGGAAGCTCCCAGCCTCTCCCACTCCTCCGGGAGCCACGAGCACCTTCAGATGTGGTTTGCCCCAAAACGCTCCTCGGCAGAACAAAACCGACCAAAGCGTTTTTGATAGGGGGGTCCCAGCGCAGGAGCTGCCGTGCCTGGCACTGCCCTGTTTACCCCGGCTGGCTGCGGGATGAGGGGGATGCCCGGCGGGCTTTACATGCCCAGGTGTGGTGGAAGGAGGCGATGCTGGCTCTGCCGGCGCTCCCCGGGCAGCACGGGCGGCCTCGCCCCGCGGCCCCGGCCCGGCCTGTCCTCACTTGCCGGCTGCTCTCGCTTCCCATTCCCTGCCCGCAGCCCCGCGGCTCCTCAGCCAACCTCACATTTCCTCATTGCTAGGAAATGGCAAATTCCCCCCGGGCTGGTTTCAATGGCTCACGGATCCCTCGCCTTTGGCCTCTGCCCAGTTTCTCCTGGGCTGGTGGAGCTCAGCCTTCGGGAGCAGCGCTTTTTCCCAGGCACGCAGCCTTTGGAATTCTCTGTC